AGTCTTTGGAGCCCCAGAAGCCTATCCACAAACCCCATTAGGATGGTGGTTCTCAATTATTAGTATTATTATTATTTTGCCTACACGCTGATAACATTTGTTTATTATTAATTTGCCTGCATGACAACATTCTTATTGCATGGGCTGATTCTCAGTGTGGGACACTCTTGTGAGAATGGGGAAGGACAAATGTAGTTTGAACAGTCACTGGCCATGGAGTCCATAGAAGTGGGTCAGGAATAACTGGCCTAACAGGTCTTTGCTTGGAAAGTTGGGGAATGAGAGGAATTTCTCCTTTCCTAGATACTGCCTGGCACCTTGCCTGGATTTCACAGAAGATAATTAGGGGCCACAGGGTACGAGAGGGACTAAGCATTATGTTTGGGCTTCTCTCAGTATTTCCTACTGGCAGTAATTGCTGAGGAATGCTTCCTCTCACCCAAGAGAACATCATGGCCCTGCTCAGAGACTGACTGGGAAGGTAGATGAGGCCAAGCAGAGTAGGAGTGCTAGTGCCAGCCACTCCCCAGCTCTCCAGTCTGTCTACATTTGCAGTCGCCTGAGGTAGGTGGGAAGGCTAATGACTCATTATCCCAGCAATTAGTCATCACTGAGGCACGTGATTCCCTGCAGGACTGGTGCCACCTGCTGCCACTCTGGCCCTGTTCAGTGCTGCTTATCTCCCCAGGAAGTACAACCCCAGGAAATGGTCACCACTTACCCATAGGCACAGATTTGTAGCTGCAGCAGTCCTAAGACCAAGAGACAGGGACAAAAGCGTCACTCACCTGTATACCCCCGAGCCACACAAGACCTCCATGGACCAGGAGTACTGATCACAGAGAGGAATATATGGACACTTAAACCAAAGAATTCTTCGTATACCCCATACATACATGATGTGTGCAGATACATCTATCTGCATACACATGCACATGTGCACATAAATATATGAACACACTGTGAAGGAAAGGCTGTGCCTTGTAAAAATAAAACCCTCCAGTCCTTAGAGATAAAGAGCTCCAGCAGGAGGCCATCAGGAGAAGAAGGGTTCCTCCCTGTTTCCTCTCCCCTGGGATGCTGTCACTGAGCTGGCTATCCTCCAAATTGACCCTGGGGACTCTTCTTTCTTTCTTTCTTTCTTTGAGTTGGAGTCTCACTGTCACCCAGACTGGCGTGCAGTGGCACGCTCACGGCCACCACAGCCTTGACCTACTGGGCTCAAGTGATCCTTCCACTTCAGCCTTCCAAGTAGCTGAAACTACAAGCATGCGCCACAATGCCTGGCCAATTTTTTGATTTATTGTAGAGATAAGGCCTTGCCAAGTTGCCCAGGCTGGTCTCAAACCCATGGGCTCAGGCAATCCTTTCACCTTGGCCTGTCACCACTGTTCTATAAAGGAGTTTTGTGGCTGGGCGTGGTGGCTCATGCTTATAATCCCAGCACTCGGAGGACAGGCAGGAGGATTGCTTGAGATCAGGAATTTGGAACCAGCAACATAGTGAGACCTCATCTCTACAAAAAAAAAAAATCAAACAATTATCTGGGTTTGATGGCATGCCCTTGTGGTCCCAGCTAGTCAGGAAACTGAGGCAGGAGAATTGCCTGAGCCTAGGAAGTCAAGACTGCAGTGAGCCATCATCATGCCACTGTACTCTAGCCTAGGTGACAGAGTGAGACCTCAATTCAAAAAATAAATAAATTTGTTGGGACTTCAGTTCCTGTTTTTTGTTGTGTTTTGAGTCAGAGTCTCACTTTATTGCCCAGGCTGGAGTGCAATGGCACACCCACGACCACCACAGCATCAACCTGTTGGACTCAGGTGATTCTTTCACCTCAGCCTTCCAAGTAATTGGAACCACAGGCATGTACCACCATGCCCAGCTAATATTTTTGATTTTTTTGTAGAAATGAAATCTTACCAAGTTGCCCAGACTGGTCTCGAACCCATGGGCTCAGGCAATCCTCTCACCTCTGCCTCCCAAAGTTTTGGGATTGTAGGCATGAGCCACCACACCTGACAATTCTGTTTTTTTGTTTTTGTGGTTTTTTTAGATTAGAAAATATGGTTTCTTTAAAAACTAAATTAGAATGAGAGAGAGAGAGAGGAGATTTGCCTTCCCAAGATAGGGAATGGGGTCAAAGCTTAAGAAAACAAGGCCTGGCCATAGCTCAAAGAGTACATGGCCACACCATAGCTTAGCAAGGCAATGGCCCAATTCCTGTTTTTGTTTGTTTGTTTATTTTGTTTTTTGAGTCGGAGTCTCACTCTGTTGCCCAGGCTGGAGTGCAGTGGCACGCTCACAGCCACCCCAGCGTCAGCCTGCTGGACTCTGGTGATCCTTCTGCCTCAGGCTTCCAAGTAGCTGAAACTACAGGTGCACGCTACCACATCTGGCTAACTTTTTTTTTTTTAATTAGAAGATAGTTTATTTAATTTATTTTTATTTTTATTTATTTATTTTTTTGAGTTGGAGTCGCACTCTGTCGCCCAGACTGGAGTGCAGTGACCGCTCCCAGCCACTGCAGCCTTGACCTGCTGTGCTCCGGTGATCCTGCCGCCTCAGCCTTCCAAGTAGCTGGAACTACAGGCACACACTACCACGCCCGGCTAATTTTTTTTTTTTTTGATTTATTGTAGAGATGCGGTCTCGCCAAGTTGCCCAGGTGGGTCTCGAACCCGCGGGCTCAGGCAATCCACTCACCTCAGCCTCCCAAGGCGTGGGATTACAGGCTGAGCCACCAAGCCCGGCTAGAAGATAGTTTATTTAGAAAGTAAATTGGGGGAGGGGAAGAGTCACAAGAGGGGGCCAAAGCTTAGGAAACGGCAGCAGCCATAGCTCAAAGAGCACATAGCCACACCAGAGTTTAGAAAAGCAATGGCCTGGTTCTTTTATTTTTATTGTAGAGATGAGGTCTCACCAAGTTGCCCAGGCTGTTCTTGAAATCGTGGGCTCAGGCAATCTCTTCACCTCAGCCTCCCAAAGTGTTGGGATTACAGGTTTGAGCTACCGCGCCGGGCCCAATTCCTGTTTTTAAGAGAGTGGCAATTCCACCCAACTCTGGACAACCTGTGATCCTTTCTCCAATGCATCCTCTTCAAAAACTCAGCTCTTACAACTTAGCTGTAGAACAGTTTCTGAACAAAAAAGGTGAAGAATCAGGAACTGACATGGATCCCCTGCCTCCTGAAATCCAGCCCCATACAAGGGATTTTACATACCCCAGCTCATGTTTTTGTTTCTTTGTTTTTATTTTTTATTTTTATTTATTTATTTTTTTGAGTTGGAGTCTCACTCCGTCACCCAGACTGGAATGCAGTGGCCGCTCCTGGCCACCACAGCCTCGACCTGCTGGGCTCCGGTGATCCTTCCGCCTCAGCCTTCCAAGTAGCTGAACCTACAGGCGCGCACTACCATGCCCGTCTAATTTTTTATTTTATTTTATTATAGAGATGAGGTCTCGCCAAGTTGCCCAGGCGGGTCTCGAACCCGCGGGCTCAGGCAATCCACTTCCC